CCTTTCATTTGAACAACAACAAAAAAATGCCATATCTGAAAAGTGCAATAAGTGAAGTGCAGTAAATGGAGGTATGCCTGGGTAAGGCCTAATTTGCATATTAACCTAAGTTCTGGTTTTCCTTTCTCCTATTTTGTAAAGCCCAGCTGGCCAGGGCCATCCCCTTGTGCCACACTGGCTATCTCCCAGGGACACTGCCCAGTTGCCAGTGCCCACTTGCTTCCCAGCTTCCTAGTGCCCCGCGACAGCTCGTGGTGCAGCCGCGGACAGGATTTCTTTCACCCGTGGGCTGCCACAGTCTCCTGACTTCAAAACATCTTTTGCTTCATCTCTTTGTCTCCTTTGTTCAAGGGCAACTGGTCAGAGACTATTCCTTGGTCTCTACCCTGCTTCTTCAAGCCCCCACCACCTCGAACTAAGTTTCTTGGACCAAGAATAGAAAATCGTGTTCCAACTTCACAGTTCTCATAGAGACCCTAGTTTTGTCTGGGGGTCGTACTTCCAAAGGGTCCAGGTGTACAGATTATGCTGCTCCTGCCTGTGTGTCGCCTCTTCAATCACTCGTGTCCTCTTGTGTGTGAGGCACAACAGAGTGTGCTTTCAGAAGGAGCCTTTTGTATTCCTAGAGTCTAAAAATATTTGCATGTAAATGTTGGGAATCCAGACAGTCTCCTTAGGATCTATACTTCGCATGGGGGGAGGGATACAGATCATTGGGGTGCCTTTGAAAATGAAAACTATACCACCTTGTGTCCCTACCCCCTAGTATTGCACCAACATCTGAGTGGAGGGTGTGACATTGAGCGAGGCAAAGCATAAATAACCACATTTCAAAATGAATACTAATTGCATAATGACAGTTTCCAAACTATTAGCCTACTTTACAAAAAAAAGTTAATTCAACACAAGCCCAGAGCTGGCTGTTGCTTCTGTGTTGTGCTGCCAATTGGCAGGCAGAGCTTTGCAAGGGGATTGGGGGAAATGAAGGTTATTGTAGTGGGAGCACACTTGGCCTTTTGTGAGGAGGGGACAAACTGCATCACACTTTCGAGTCCCTGCTGTTCAGCGTTTAAGAGCGGACACCAGGATCCTGCACGCCTTCAGGGGAAGTTGCTTACTTTTCCTAGAGGTAAAATGGCCCAGTGCCGAGGCTTGGGGAGGAGTCTTGAGTTTGCTGCCCTTTGAAGGAGAGTCCAGGGAAGATGGAGGTGATAAGCATTGGGGAGCTGAATCTAGGCTGGTGTGTACTGGGAAATCCTGGGACCAGGGGAAAGGAAGGTCTTCAGGATGAAGTGCTCATGATGGCTAGAGCAGCGACTCCCTGCCTGGGCCTGTCCGCCCTCATCTATAGAATGAGTGTGACTGGATGCTACTGAAAGGCCCCCCAGTTCAGATGGAATATCACCATGTCCTCCTCGAAGCTGATGGTACTCCAGTAGGAGAAAAGCACTTTGCTGGGAAGACTGGCATGAAATGATGGGGCTGGTTTCTCTGTCCCTTCTTTTTACTGTAGGACTCACAGACGTTTGTCTCATTTGCCAAATTAAGGTGCTTATGTGAAAGGACCTTAAAGGAAAATGAGAAAGTGCCTGCTAGGGAAGAGGAGCTATCTGAGGCAAGAGTTCTTTCTCTTTGGGACATTCTATTGCCTGGAAGGGAGCATTAAGAAAGCCAGAAATGAAAGGTCAACCAAAAAATAAATGTATGTAACATTATTAGGAAGAAGGGTACGTGATGAGGCTTATGTCATATCATTTGCCTCCAGAGGGTGTCTATTCAAGATATGAGAACCCCCGTTTATGTGGCGCTTTATATTAACTTCCCCTCCCCAAACCCCGATCAATAGGAGGCTCTGGGCTACAAAATTCCAAACAGACAAAGTTGGATTTGCCAATGAGGAAATTCAGAAAAGTACTCTATTATTTTACATCATTATTTTACTTCCATTATTTTACTCTGAGTGGCAACAAATGACTGTCCACTCAGAGAATGCCCAATTTTAGGTTTAACAACCCATGATCAGAATTCAGGCAAAAGTCTAACTGTTCTTTTGAAAACTCCATTCCCCTGTTTTTTTTATACATTCGCAGGCACTTTTCTCTTTGTACCAACCTCAAGGGAGACCTTTGTTTCCTCAGTTAGTGAAGTATTTCCTCCCTGACCCTGTTTTTCTAAGTACTTCTAGTCCAAATCTAGCCTGGGATTTTGATTCTTGGGCATTTCCAACTTAGAAGTCCAAGGTTCTGATAAGATTTGTTTGAAATGAATTCCAGGTTACATAAATGTAGTTAATCCAAAAAGTTTTCATTGCCCCCAAAAACTTCCTACCTGCTTCTGGCTTCATTTGACCCTGAAAGTTACGATTGTAAAAATTTCATGTCCTGTGGTCTTCAATGTGAAACAGCTTTAAAAGAAACAGCATATACATATTTATTGCTGTAAGATGTGCTGAAGCTCCTGTCTCCTCCTGAGACTGTGTTTGTAACTTTGCACCTAGACTGTCATTTATAAGGATTATGATTTCAGCTAACCATATTTTCTGATAGTCTGAAGATCTTTTATAAATCAAAGTAAGTTCCTTATACAGGTTTCCTCTGTTATCTGAAAGTAGAAGGTTCTATGAAACCTTTCATAAGCTAAAATGACTTAAAGCAATGAAGCAATTGCTATTAATTTATATGGAAAAAAAACGCTTAAACATTTCTAGGCCCTCCCCTCCCCCCACCAAATAACCTACCAAATTACCAAATCATACCAAATAGCCCACGGGATCTAAAATAACACTAACGCATATCAAAGCAAGAATGATTTAGATTCACAGCGCTTCCTGGGGAAGGAGCTTGGTGGTGCCACTCTTGCTGCTCTGTTGGGTGCCTCTGGAGTGACTGCTGCAAAACCAATGCTGAAACGAAGCTCTTTCAGTTTTGCCTGTTGTGTTAAAGCAACAGTCCCGCCTGGATTTCTTTTGTTGAGCAATAGCAGGTATTCATGTAAGTCTTCAGGTAAAAGCCAAGTGGCGTAACTCCAACTTTTGAAAATCGGGAGGAATACCTGTATGTGAGTTAATTACTGTTTTATGTTTTAGGGATATTTGAAATGCACTTTAACAAGAATGCTCATTGTGGGATTATTTTATACTCATTTCTTTAAATATTTGGATCAAAGGGGACCTAGTGTCTGCAGAAATGTCTTGAATGTTTCCTCTGTTCCTATCCTATCACCCTACCTTACATCTGAAAGTAGACACAACTTTAAAATATATGTATCTTGAAAACTCCATCCGAGTATGAGAAAGGGTATTCACCAGTTTCCTTTTCCAGGTAGTCTGAGATGAAATCAAAGTGTTTTATATCTGTGTGTGTCAGACTGGATGTGAGTTAACTGCAGGATGTGTGTGCCGGGTACTTGTCTGACTTTGAGTCTTTGAGTCTCAGTGTGGCTAGGCCAGATGGGTCCTGGCCTTTTTTTTTTTTTTTTAATTTATTTATGCATACAAGAACTGGGGTATGGGCCAGTGGTGTGGGGGGTAAGAGGATTCCCCAGAGACAGAGCGGGGAGCAGAACAGGCAGATGGACTGAAATACACTGCTGAGGAGAGCAGCAGGGAGACAGGAGAGGTGTGCTGCGCCATGTGGGTAGCTCCCTGGCTGGGGGATCAAACTCGTACTGCAGAGGCTGTGGATAGCTTCACAGTGCTGTGCTCAACCCCTTGAGCTACCAGGGAGGCCCCAGTCTTGGCTTTTTTATTTAGATAGACCTAGTGTAGTTCCAAAAGAACTTAAGCATTGAGGAGCCTGATACTTAGTGGAAAGGAAGAATTGACAATGGGAAATATGAATGGTTGGGGTTCAAAAGCACCTGGTGAAGATGGCAGCAGCCATGCATAGGTACATTCCTGGGTGCTCTGCACTCCCAAGAGGGGCTGGGCACTCTGGGGCAGCCATAAACTCCCCTCTGCGTAATTCACACATTACATACAGCTGTTTTGCTGATGTTTGGCTTCCTTGTGTGAAGGGACGGAAGGAAAGAAAAGTACCAGACAATGCTGCAAGAAAATACTCTCTTCAAACTACCTTTTAACTGCGTGAAACTTGGTTTTGGTACCCCCTGCCCCCTAACCCACATCCCATAAGAAGAAATTGTGGTGTCTGTGACCTTCCCTGAAGTCACTGCAGTCATCTCATACCATGACTGTCTTTACAAAATTACTGTACATGCTAGAGGTTGATCAAAAGCAAAGATTCTACTGAAAAGGTAGTTTGAAAAGCAGTGTGGGCCTGGCCTCTCCCCCACATCCCACTTTTTTCTCATTTTCTCTCTTGGCAGTAGTACCTGAAGGCAGCATGAGCTAAGGTGAAGGTTGCTTCTTTTCAGTGAGTGCATATTCTAGACCATCGTCCATAGAACCCTCTCTCAGAGAGTGAAGGTAATAAACTACACTTGTGGGTATAAATGTCCATTTTCTGAGCCAGGGAACCTATGAGAATAAGCTTTCTTGGGCTGGGAGTAGAAATCAGAGATGTGTCCTCTTTCTCATCTTAATGGCGTCCCTCCGTGTCTATTCCCCTAGCTGCTCCACAAAGTGGAGGCCAGTGAAGATAATCTGGAGAGCACTGGATGGTCAGCTGCCATCTTCCCTTACAGCCCTGTCCTCATCATCCCAGCAAGAGTCCCTTAGAATCCATGGCCGCTGAGCACTTGGGGATGAGTGCAACACAGTGGAAATATACTGTTGGCTCACTAGACTCAGCCTTTCCCGTCTTGCATGTGAATGTGCTTCCAAGGGGGCTGAGGACGGGGGAAGGTGTGTGGTCAGCAGGAACCTGCCACCGGCACCCAGAGAACCCTGTTGTGCGTGGCCTATCGAGGTCACTTTGGGACTATTTCTTCGTCAGATGTGTGCTCCTCCACATTCTGTTTGAATCCCATTCCCTCTGCAATCAGCACCCGTACCCACGGATCCCATTTGACACCTGAAACCAACGTATAAGTAACTTGCATCTTTATTGAAAACACACTGTGCCTTACAAAACCAACAGGCACTTTTAATTTTGCTCATTGAATTCATTCAACAGGTATTTGATGAACTGCTCTGGATGTTATGCTATACACAATTGCTATCGCAGAAAAAATACTTTGGAAAAAACTGTCATAAAGAACAAACACACTTTAGAAAATGGGGCCTGGGAAATGACCATTGACAACAGGGGTCCAGGCCATGCCTACAGGGGCCAGATCATAGTGAGGCATAGGTGGCCTGGGTGGCACAGCAATCACGGGTGGCTCGGGCATCATGGGTGGCCCAGGTGGCATCGGCATCATGGGCTGCGCGGGCATCATAGGTTGCATAGGCATCATGTGTGGCATGGGTTGCAGAGGCTGCCCGTGTGCCACAGGAGGCCCAGGCAGCATGACGGGCCTTGGCACCACAGGAACACATCTCCACGCAGGTTCTACAATGGGATACCCATTGTAGAACCTATCAAGGACTACCCCCATTGGAGCGCCGATCACAAAGGGGGCAATATTTCTGTACATCAGAGTTCTCTGGTATCTTCTCCACTTGGCCCTTCTGTTCTGAAACCAAACCTTCAATCAGAGCGGAAAAAGGGATCGGTTTAGTATACTGAACAGTTCATGTCATAACAGAAAAAAAAATACATGCAACTCTCCATTGAGATTGTAAATCACAGAAGCTGCCATTTCTCTCTTGCTATAATCTCTCAGGAGATTGAACAGCACATCTCCCTCAAGTGAGCCCTTAGTGAGCCAAGCCCAGTCCAGACCTTGGCACATGGCTTTGTCTCTCTCCTCCCAATGAGTATTCTTGCATGTTTTTTTATTCACTCTAGGAAGCAGGCTTAACAGCTCAATGGCACCGGGTCACTGTTATTAATGTTGATGCCCGTTTGCAGGGTAAAGAGACAGTGGGACATCAGCTGTGCTAGCTGCCTCCACCAGCTTCTCTCCACTCCCTGTCGCCCTGGTTGTAGGGGAAACTGAACATGGTCTAGAAAAAGTGGGTCTCATTAAAAACATACTGAGGGGCACCAACCCTATCTGAAAAGCGCAAGCCCAGTCTGAAGTAACTGATCAACAGGAGCACCTTGCACTTCTGAACAGGTTTCCTTCAACGGTGTTTCAGGGATAACTCTTTCCCTGAAATCCTGCAGGGATTAACAGGCAGTGTGGCAAAGGAGTCTTGAGCACGGCATCCCAGGGACTTTGCGGCTTGTCTTGCCGGAACATGACAGTTGCCACGGCCTTGGACCCTGCTTTGATATTTTAACCTTCAGTGTTGGAAGACAGTTTAGCCTGACTGAATCCAAATTCACTGAAGTCTCAAGATCCTTCTCCCCTGATAAGAGATTATGTACAGCACGGTCACCATGGTCAAGTTTGCAAACTCTCATCTGCTTTGCCCCCCAAACCTTCCCAAGCTCAGGACAGGTCAGCTCAGGGGGCACTAGCTACAATTTCAGGATCATGGACAGGAGCCGCTGTTCCCCGGAGTGATGCAGCACCTGAGGCCCTGCCTGCTCCACTCCTTAACCAGGAGACCTTAATCCAGCCGCTCCTTCCTAGGGCACAAAGTCCCACTGCACATTTTAGGAAGTCCTTCAACAACAATGTGGGGGTAGAGATCACAATAAAGGCTCCTCCCTAAATGACTGCTCCTATTAACAAACCAGAACATCAATTAGGCGCCATTGTCCTTTTAACTAGTTTATGGCGTTTACATTATATTTAATTCCTTTTAAAGTCCTCAAACTGCATTTTAAGCACTAGAAGTCACCTTTTCCCTTTCCCATTTTAGGATTTGGGAGCCTTCTACTGCATGAATATGTGGTCTCAAGAAGGCCAGTGTAACAGAACTCATTTTGGTGGGATTAAAATATACATGAGGTCAAATCTCCCTAAACAAAACCAAAGCCCACATCTGGCAAATTTTGGTATGGGCTGGATCGTAGCTTCATATTTTTAATATTAGTTTCATAAAACAGGTTTACTATATTTGCAAAAGAGAGGGGAAGTGTCTATTAAATTTCCTGGAGGATGGAATTGATCCAATTGAATGTGTAGATAATGAGAACTTTGTCTTTTTCTTCATTTGTGTTTTCTGGCTCATTTTTTCCCTTCAGAAACCCATGGAGAGGGCTATGTAAACCCAGGGAGGTGGGGGGGGGGAAGCAACTTAGCAAACTTTGTTTTTCTTTTCCTTTGAGTTTACCTTGCCTGCCTGAGAAATTGGAGGTCTAGTCCTCTCTACCTGAGACCATGCCTGATTGTGATTCCAGCCTGATGCCACCACTCAGGGGCTTGTGGCCGGCAGGTTTCCATCCCTGCACTCAAGCACTCTGGGGCAGAACTACTAAGCCATAAAATATATACACGTTATATATTATATATATGTGCATAAAATATATGCATGCTACATGCCATTAATATACATTTAAATATATTGTGTTATACAGTTTATATATTATAAATATATACCATACACACATATTCTATATAGTATAGAATATCTTACATATTACAAATACATATTATGTGTTATAAATACGTACTTCATAGAATATATAAACATTCTAAACATATATTTTTTTCTATTTTATAACTATATATTTCAGCATTTGCATCTATATATTATTTGTATATATGTTTTGAGAAGGAAATATACCTTTGATGTAACTTTGGCTTTCTATGACCTCAAATACTCACTTTTGATCCTGTGGCCTACACATTAGTAATCAATGCCCGAGTAAATGAAAAAGCATTTTAAATGAAGACAGTTAAGTATCTGGCCTGAAGTGAGAGCCCCCACACAACTGGTCAAATTCCAGAAAACTTACATTCTCAAAAGAAAAAAAATTCTTAGATGTTAAAAATTCCCCCAGAGGATATTTACTTACACATTGTGCTAGTTTTGTACAGTTGAATTAGTGACACCTATATTTACACATAGATGATTCCTCTCTAACTTCTCATCCTTTCTTAGGTCAGTGGGACTTTATTCAAATTGCTTTCATTTTTTCCCCATTGTTTTTCCATTTTCCAGAGTTTGTAAACTTTCCCCATTAAGGCTATCAATGCTGTTTATGTTTTTAGGCTGACAATGAAGCCTTCCAAAAAATATAAAAATTTAAGGCTGCTGCTCTCTACACTGCTTTATAAAAACACACGAAAACAGAAGGAGCAAGAACTTGGAATTTTAAGCTGTCTCCACCCTGTGCCAGTCTCAGTTTAACTAAATATACTGTGTATGTACAGCATATGTACTGTGTTCTGTGTGTGAATTCCTCACCCACCCTGTAAACATTTATATTCATTTAGCCAAGAGTTATGCTTGATTTCAAGCCTTTTACATAATCAGTACAGTTGAACCTTCTGAGAACCTAACATATTAGTGCAGTAATTTGAATACTTCCCAGGTGGGAATGCGCACCAACATAATTTAACCTATTCTGGTATTTGGCCATTTCCATAAGCTCAGACTTACTTCTCCCACCGTTTTCCACCCCCAAAGTACCCGATGTTAAAAACTTGTTTGCTACACATGGAAAAGAGAACAAAAACACACCAATTTAAGAAGGTTCAGGATAAAATCTTAGACATGGTTTAGAATGGCTGCCCAGTCAATTGCTCTTTTAAGATTTACTGACCTGCACTCTGGATTCATTCAAATTCAGGCGTGTTGCAATCTCTTCTCTGAGGGGGGGGGAAATTGTGCATGTTCAGTATTTGGAGTTGTGGGTTAAATGAAATATACTGTGTACATTATCTCCATCCCCCTTCCCAGCACAATTTGCAATAGGCCTAGATGCTTGCTTTACAAGGGCTTTCCCAGGGACAGATAACTTATTTGTTAAATAAGATAGAAGAGGGGAATATATCGTTAAGTTCCTGATCGTGTGTCTGTTCGTTGAATGTGACTCAATCAATTTTTGTTTGTGGAACAGCAGAGAATAACCCCGGAAATCTTGAGTGGTTCCTCCGTTAAAATAAATAAAATACCAAAACATCTTTAAGCGATCTTTTGAACCAAATTATTTCTGTGGACTGTAACGGGGAGTGAACACTCAAGCAGAAATTCCAAACTACTGTCCTGGCCAAATGCTCGAAGGAAATTTTTTTTTGCTCTCTGTTGGGCTAAGTTGAATATCTGGGAACCAGAAAGGGCGCCCCTCAGCCTCACATCTACTCCCCCTCTCCTGCCGGGCCACAACGGGCCTGCCCCTTCATACTGAGGAAAGCTCCACGGGGGCTCCCGGCAAGCCAGGCGAAAGGAAGGGCCACCAGCAATATAAAGCACAGAACTCCGCCGTCTGAAAACAGCGCCCCAAGCGGCATGGCCAAGCGTAGGGTGGCGCGCTCGCCTCGTGCGCAAACGGTAAAAGGCGCGAAAAAATCAAGCGTGCAAGATAAATATTTTCACGCAATATTCAAAATATGAAAATTAATGCAAAAAGACAAAAGCAAAAAAAAAGGACCAATTACCAAAAGTTTGAAATTAAGGCAGGCTCAATCCGACCCTGCTCTGCCCCACAGGCATCGCCGGGACTCCAAAAAGCGGGAATGAACCCCACCTTCTTGAGCTCCTTAACAGGCTTCTGGCTCAGGAAAGGATAGCTAGGGTCTCAGGAAACACCCTAAGACACCCCGAGATAAGTCCGAGTCCCCTGAAGAACCGGGCGCCTTCGGAGCAAACCCCTTACCTTGTAAACATGTCGGGGTATTGATTGCGACGGAAAAGACTTTCCAGCTCATGCAGCTGCAACTCGGAGAATGTGGTGCGGCAGCGGCGCTTCCTCTCTGGCATCTGTGGCCCGGCCGCAGCCGCAACTGTGGCCGCAGGGGCCGGTTCTTCCCGCTGTTCTTGGGGCTCCTGGTCTCGGCCGCCGCCCTCACGGTTTTCGTCGTCCAAAGGGATGGGCCCTCTCACGCCAAGATGGTCTGCTGCTGCTGTCGGCTGCTCAGGTTCAGAGAGAGTATCCTCCGTGTCTCCTTCCGTCCCAGACAGCGAGCACAGGGCAGGATTTGCATCTGGGAAAGGAGGGAAGCAAGAGCGACCAGGGCTTTGCAGCCTACCTTGCGTGGACTGCAGAAAACTAGGCGGCGCGGCAGGAGCGCCGCGGAGACAGCCTCGCAGCGTCACGTCCACCCAACCTCTTGCAGGGCAATTCCCTTCCTGGAATTCGCCTAAACACCTGTCCCCGTCCAGATACCGACCGTGCAGGTCTTCCCCGTCCCCACCGACTCTCAGGCTGCAGTCGCTGGTGCCAGGCGCGCCGGCCATGGAAGGACTCTCCATGCCCCGCGAGCTGTCGATGAAGCGTGCGCTCCCGCAGGCTCCGCTCCGCCGTCTGTGGCGATGCCGCGCTCGCGGTTAGAGCTACCGCCGTCTGGCCCGTTAGGTGCCTTCTGGCGGCCGGACTTCTTTTAAATCCAGAGGGGCCTTGCGCGCTTTACACAGGCTTATGTTGCCTTCCGCAGGTTCAAAGCCTGCGCGCTTACCTCTATTTTTGTGGGTGGGACCGGCTGGGGGCGCGCTGGTAGCCCCGGCGTGGAAATAAAATAGGGCGCGTGTGTGCAAGAAGTGCTTGTAGTGGGCACGCTTTGAGCAAGCAACGGTAACTCCAACTTGCAACTTAACGGACAACTCCCAAGTCGTACGATGTGTGTGATTCGAGGAAGGTACTGTGCGGATTGTGAACATTTTTTTTTTTCTCGGCGGGGCGTGGGGGTGGGGCGGGGGGCAAGACTGCACCCTTGCTCCTCGAGCTCGCGGAGAAGTATTTGGCCCATATATTCCTCCGCACAACCCTCGATGTTTGCAGCCTGCCAAAGGCGCTGTGTCTCTTGCTTCCGAGAGGGAACTGAGAGAGCGCTGCGAAAAGCGTTGCCCTCGGCAGCTCCAGCACGCTTAAGCCAAGTTGTTAATTTAGCCTGCGTCGGGCTCCAAGCTCTAGTCGCCCCTCCTAGAAGTTGGTGACTCATGGAGAGGGCTATCTGGTTCTGTTCCATTCTCACGTAAAGTCCGACCACCAGGCTAGGGATGAAGGCGAAGTGGTTAGCTAGAGGGCTGCTTGCGCTCGGTTTCGGAAATGAGATCCCACCGCGCATTTTGGGCGCGGGAGTTTGGCGCTGGGTTGGCAAAGTACTCCGATGCTCCGATGCACGCTGCAAGAACTTAATGTACTTCTTAAGGACACGCCAATTAATTCATATTTTTGGTAACGACCCCAAGTCAGAAGGCAAGAGTTGAAACCTGCCCAGTGTTTAGTGTGCCCGAGGATACCTCTGCTGCACGGCCCCCTCCTTCCTTGGTGCTGCGAGCACTATTTGCTGTACTGGGTCGCTACACTGCTTACTGCAGCACGCTTTGCAGCGCAGGTGCCTAAAAGGGCGCCTTGTTCCGGCCAGCACTGCAGACCTGGGAAAAGTGGTCGCGATCCCAACTACCCCTTTCCACTCCTCCCCCTCCCTTTTTCTAGAACTACTTTCTTACTTAAACTGTTGTCCCCCACGGATGCATGAAATAAAGGGCCAAGTAGCGATTCAAGACTCTAGGGTTTCGCGCCGAGAAGTGTTCTTACACGTTCCGCGATGTGTTGCTGTCTTTCATTCTGCAAGATTAAGTTTTTATAATGGGCACTAAACTTGGCGCTGTACATAACTTAGCCTACGTTTACCTGTAAGACGGCCATCATTATCATCCCATCTTTGCTCAGGAAGCCAAGCAACTTGCCCGTGGTGATACATGGTAGTTTGGCGACGAAGTCCTGGCAATTTTCACATTATAAGTGCAGTGTTATTTTCAGGAGTAAATCATGGTGAGCTTCCAGACGGCGGTGGAGGAGAGGGAAGGTGTTTAAAAATCCGGAGTGCCAGGCATCCCCTCTTCCCCTTGCCCTGGTTCAGGCACCTATTCCCTTGCATCAGGTCTTCAGCTGAATATCCCTAAGTCTGAGATTTGGGGTGTAGGAGTGCTGGCTTTCCCAACTTGTCTGTTCACTTTTGCTCAACACCCAGGACACTAAAAAGAGCAGGATGTTATGCGCATTGCCTGTTTTCCTTGAAGGGAAGACATGTCCTGAGTCTCACCTTTCCTGTCAGGGCCACACTATGACTTTTGCGAACCCTACACATTTTTGCCTTCTTGGACCCCTTCCTCTGTAACGGTTGTTTTTTAAATTTATTTATTTATGCATACAAGAGCCGGGGTACAGGCCAGAGGTGTGGAGGGTGAGAGGATTCACCAGAGACAGAGCGGGGAGCAGAACAGGCAGACTGACTGAAATACACTGCTGAGGGGAGCAGCGGGCGAGACAGGAGAGGTCTCCTGCACCATGTGGGTATCTCCCTGGCCAGCTGGGGACTGAATTCGTGCTGCAGAGACTGCAGACAGCTTCGTAGGTTGTGTCTTAACCCCTTGCACCACCAGGGAGCCCCCCCCATAATGGTTTTTTAAAAAAATTTATTTTACAGTGGTGTTGGCAGAAAGAAAAATACAGGTTTTCCCCACTGTCTGAAAGTAGAGCATTCCTACCTTCCCCATGTAAAGGCGGAGGAAACGTTAAGGATTATTCACATGTAGAATATTTCTGAGCATTTATACCAAAAAACACATAAAACCTAAAATCACACAAACAAATAGTAAAACTAGGCATGCCAGGATACATCACAGTGGTATAGAATAGTTTCCGGGGCAGGAGCTTGGGGAGGACTACTCTTTCTGCTCCAAACGGAAACTGCCTCTTGGACAGCTCTGCAAAATCAACCTTGAATGATTGCTAGTCTCACTCTTTCTTTTGTCATAGAAATGAGAATTCTCTCTTTTTTTTTTTTTCATTTAGCAAAAATAGGTACCACTGCAGGGCTTCCCTGAACGTGAAGTGGTGCAGCTCAGACTTTCAAAAAGCAGGGGACACGGGTCTAATCTGGGCTGGATTATGTGTGTTTTATTTATTTAAAAAGAAATCAAAACAGGGCCTCCCCCGTGGCGCAGCAGTTGAGCGCTGGGTTGCGAAGCTGCCCTCAGCCTCTGCAGCGCCGGTTCGATCCCCGGCAGCTCCCGGAGGAGGGTCCCACATGGCGCGCAGAACTCTCCTGCCGCCCGCTGCTCCCCTCAGCAGTGTACTTGGCTCCTTCTGCCTGCTCTGCTCCCTGCTCAGGCTCTGGTGAATTCTCTCACCCTCCCGCGCTTCTGACTGTACCCAGTGCTTGTATAAATAAATAAATAAATAAATCTTAAAAAAAAAAAAAAAAAAAAGAAATCAAAACAGTGTTGGTTCCTGAGAGTTTGGTGGGCTGTGGGCATTGCAGCGACTGTGGCTAATGGAGAAGTCCCCCTGCCTCATTTCCCAGAGGGTGGCAGTTAAGGAACCAACTAAGAGATGCCTAATATATGACATATAATAGATGCCAAGAGTTGGTGACCCCCCCCACCAGACTCCCTGATTTTAATCAAGATACAAGGTGTGCACTAGACATGATGGGATTTACTTAATCTTATCTTAATATATTTACTTTAAGTTCTTTCACTTTTTGGAAACCTTAAACTAGGTAATTGATCCTTATTGTAGACAAAAATAACCCTGAGTTCAAGTGTTTGAAAAAGCAGATGCGTGTGCGGTAGAGCATGGCAACAATGGAAAGCAGGGACTCTGAAGCCAAACTGCTGGTGTCTGAGTCCTGGCTTTGCTTGCCACTTGCTGGCTGGCTAATCTGGTGAGTTGCTTATTCTCCTTGTGCCTCAATTTTTCACTTCTGCAAAATGGGGATAACTAATTGTACCTGCTTCATGGGGTTGTTGTGAGGATTTGTTGAAATGATCACAATAGCTAACATTTAGCTAACTCTTACTATGTGCCAAGCACTGTTTAAAGTGCTATCCACATATTAACACATTTAATCTTCATATCGACCCTATGGAGGTTGATACTGCTGTTATCCTCATTTAACAGATGATGTTATTAAGTCACGAGGGGTTAAGACAATTGCCTGAATGCATCCAGCAGGTAAGTGTGGGGCCTTGAATTTGAACCTTCTTAGAATGAGCTTTGTAGAAAGAACATGCTCAATCATAGTGACTATTATGGTTTAAAAACAATTAAATATACTATTCAGTGCTGTACAGTATATTTGTAGTGTTATGCACCCATCACTGTTATCTCATTCTAGAAAATGTTCAGGGCCTCCCCAGTGGCGTAGCAGGTTGAGCGCAGTGCTATGAGGCTGTCCGCAGCCTCTGCATTGTGGGTTTGATCTCGGCTGGCCGGTGAGGATCCCACATGCTCCCCTCAGCAGTGTATTTCAGTCATCTGCCTGTTCTGCTCCCCACTCTGTCTCTGGTGGATCCTCTCACCCTCCCATGCCTCTGGCCTGTACCCCAGCTCTTGTATAAAAATAAATATATCTAAAAAAAAAAAGAAAATGTTGATCATCCTATAAAGTAAGTCTGTACCTACGAGCAATCATATCCCAGTCCCTCCTCCCTGCAGTGCCCAGTAAGCACCAATGTACTTTCTATCTCTGTGGATTTGCCTTTTCTGGATATTTCATATAAATGGAATTCTATAACATGGGACAGTTCGTGTCTGACTTCTTTCGCTTAGTGTGTTTTTGAGGTTTATCCTACATGGTATAGCATGTATCTGTTCTCTATTCCTTTTTATGGGTGAATAGTATTCCTTCATAGAAGTAGACCACATTTTGTTGTATGTTCATCATTGATGAACATCTGAGTTGTTTCCACCTTTTGGTGATTATGAGTAAGTACCTCTTTGATTTCTCTGAACATTCATGTTTTGGTTTTATTTGAGTATCTGTTTTCTTCCATGGCAACGGCCATTTTAACTTTCCACCAGCAACATACAGGGGTTCCAGTCTATCCATGTGGTGGTCTGTTTTATGTTTGTTTTTTTTAATTACACCCATCTTAGTAGGGGTGAAGTGGTATCTCATGGTGGTTTTGATTTGCAATTTTCAAATGACTAATGATGTTGACATATTTAAATTTAATTTGTCTTTTTAATTGCTATTAAGCAATTTAATTATTGGCTTTTTGTATATCTTTGGAGAAATTATTCAAGTCTTTTGCCCATTTATTGTGTCTTTGTCTTTTTGATGTAGAGTTGTAGGAGTTCCTTATATATTAGACTCTTTCTGATTTACGAATATTTTATTCCATTTGGTCAATTTTCTTTTCACTTTCTTGATATTCTTTGATATTTGCAGTCACAAGCTTTCCCTCATGTGGCTTCAAAGTTCAAGTGAATGTTATCAGCTCAGTTTAATTCTTTCTTGGTAGAAAATTCAGGTATGTAGCAGAACCAAATCTC